CTGCTCCCTCTTTCAACGCCAAGGGCCATTTCCCAGTAACCCACCCCTGGTCATACCAGACTGCTCCAGGGATCCTTTCAAGAGCTGAATAAACATCTGTTTTCCAAGAAAAGCTGGCAAGTGGTTAGACTGCCATGGGAAATGCTTTAGTAAGCAATATGCGCTTGCCTCACTACCTCATATACCTACCACCCAAAGCCTCGCCCCAGTACTACCCCATCAGACCCTGCACTGCTCTCACGCTGGCATTAACACACCTTTCTATACACACTGCACACACTCCTAACGTTACGTTATAAATGGTTACTTTAGTAGAGTGCAAGTCATCTGTCATTACCTCGGGCACAACAGACGTTTTTGTAAACTGCTTAAGGTTTAAAGAACCTCAAGCAATAGCTAAAGTGTTTCAGGGCCAGAGAGATCACACAGGGCTTAAAGGAAATGCAGGCCCTTGGATCAGTGAGGTTCAGCTCTCCCTGAACCAGGAAGAAAAAGGCATTTTTTCTAGTTACCTAGAGGAGTGTCAAAGTGCAGTTTCATGCTGGCCAATTCAAGGGTACACCTGGCAATACTCTCCATCCCTACCTCACAAAGAACACAAAAGCAGCCATGCTGGGACTTGTGACACTGTGATACAGTCAGTCACTGGCTGTATACAGCAGGTCAGCACTGCATGTACCACATACAGTGCAGAGCAAAAGTCAGCCTGCCAAGGGCCATCAGCCAGAGGGGCTGGGATTAGGTCTGCTGCAAACACAGCCATGTGACCAGCAGTCCCAGTGCACACCATCACCATCATCATCATCATCATCATTGTCATGTTTGACCCTGGGCACCACCCAACCAGCCCAGGGAACAGGGTGAAATTTCTGGAATAGGTTTCAGAAAACTTGATACAAAATCCAGCACGTTTCTAAGCCAAAATTAAAAACTGTCTGTGCATATCCTGGAAACAGCCACCAATTTACTTAAGTTCAGCTTCAGCCTTTGGAAGCAATTTTCGCATGACAGTTGAATGTAATCAGTTTCTATCACAGTGTATCATGTATCAATGTTGGTTAATTTTGAGGCTGAAGGATTTTTGAGTACTATGCACCCAATAGGAGATACATATGTGTGCATGCAAACAAAATTACACAAGTAACACCCATGCACTTCTTAGTTCAGCTATTCCAGGAGAAAAGGTGAAGCACAGCTCAAGTATTTCTCTTTTTCCAACTCTACTGCCTACAGGTTCATGTAAGGGGCACGTACTGTGTCTGGTCACAAAACACAGGTTTTCCAAAGCAGTGACTGCTCCAGTTTGGGGTAAAGCCATCAAAATCTGACTCTTTCCTGCAAACAGAAGTTGCCTGCATTCTCTCTGAGCACACGGAATCTCCTGTGCAAATAGTCTTTAAAGGACAACAGAATAGTGTGATTGTTGTAAAGGCAAAATTACCACAAAATTGGGCTTGTTTTGTAAAAAGGCTAGCTAAGCACAAAGATGGCCTCTCATTACTCAGCCTTGTTGTTTACAGAGTGCCTCAAGAGCAGTGATTCATTCTCACTCCAATAGACTTTTTACACTGATTTGATAGGTATTACTAATGCTCGTGGTTTTGAGGGCGGACGCATCAGATTAGAAACTTCAGCTTTGCAGCTGGGATGAATCGCTTAATTGCTTTAAAAAACCTTCAAGCAATGCAGCAAAGCTTTTGGCTTTGTCTGCAAAGGTCTTTAAAAAGTCATACCAGTAAAAATTTCAAGTATTACCGACTCTGCTTTTCTAACATCTCTGTAACTGCTTAGGAGAGCTTGTTAACACTAACATGTTGCCTATTTGTTTGCTCAATGTAACTTATCCACTGTTTATGCTGACAGGTAACAGATACTGCAATTAAATGACAAAGTAGAGAAGAAAAATAGCTAGCCCAGTGTCACTCAGAGATTGTGGGGAAATGTTTCCAATTGACCAGATTGGAGCAGTTTTCTGAATCTAGAAGAGACTGCTAGTTAGGAACATTTTTAAGGAATAGCCCTTCAAAATAAAAGGTACATATCTTTGACTGCAAGCAGCACCTCCCAGGAACAGAACATGAATGCACTGATGAAATCTTTCAGCAGCTGTTACAGGCATCTGTATACTGTGTATGTTCTCTCATTTGAGGTAGCTATTTAAGGAGGTTATTCCTGAAAAGCAGTCCTGCATTTAATTGCGTAAGTGCTCTTCTCCATCATGAAATTACTTACAGTTTAGACCAATTACATCCCGTATTTCCCAAATTGAAGTAACAAACCCCATTTATGACTGGCTATGGAGTGCCCTGTTAAGGCCTCAGATCCTGGTATAGTTGAAATGGTGGCTGGATAGCAAGGACTAAAGCAATTACTAGAGTGTCAATATTGATGTAATTTGTGTTGCCCATGTCATATTTAGAAGCACTGTTTTAGTCTCAATTCCCCTCTTGTTATCTGGAATTAAGCCCATTTTATTTGGCTCACTGACAGTCACATCTGTTAGAACAATATAAACTTTAGCTGAAGGAAGCGTCTCTAATGCTAGACACAGAAAAAGAGGTTTGCATGCAGAATGGTGTGTTCTTTTTAATAATTTGATGGGATGACCAACAGAAAGAAAGCAGTTTCCATTATTCAAGGTGCTCAAAAATGTAAAAAAAGATTCCTTCATAGAGCCACCAAGAAAAAAAGGATAGAATCATAGGAGTATCAGGTTGGAAGGCACCTCAAGGATCATCTGGTCCAACCTTTCTTGTCAAAAGCAATAGACAAGATGTCTTAGCACCCCATCCAACTGAATCTTAAAGTGTCCAGTGTTGGGGAATCTACCACTTCCCTAAGGAAATTATTGCAATGGCTGATTGTTCTAATTGTGAAAAATTTTCCTCTTGTGCCCAACCAGAATCTCCCCAGGAATAATCTGTACTCATATCTCTGAGGTTGTACTATATTATTGCTGGCAGAAGAAGAAGCACAATCCTCAATGCACAAGGCTGAATAGGAATCCTTAAGGTTCATCCTAGTCTTGCATCCTCCTGTAAGGGATCAGTTGCCCTTGGAACATGATCCTGGAAACTTCAGTTTCATTAATGCCACAGATATAACCCTCTCTGTTTGAGAAACCTTTGTGCATTAAATTTCTTTCATCCATCTTATCTAGCAACCAGTTTTTGAATTGTGAATCAATCCCAAAGGGAAAATTGAGTAGAAGCTAATTTCAGCTACTCCTCCTCCACATACTATTCTTGGCATCACGTAACTTTAGCACTCTCTGTAAACAGAAATTCCTGAACACACCAAGATGATGACAGGGAGAACTGGGATCTTGTGGCACATAATAACGGTATTCATCTGCTTCTTGTATTGATATGTAACTTAGGTATGTACACGAGTTTGTTAAGAATACTCAACATCATTCTGAAAGGCTTTAAAAATGTTTATTTTCCTTTCTCAGCAAGAGTCTCACCCCCATCCCTTTTACCTCCAGGGTCTCACCTTCAGTTCTAGCCTTCTTTACTCCAGCAGACTCTGAATCTTCAAAGGATCTCTTTCGACTTGTCCCACCACTGAATGGATTGGGACCTGCATTCTGATGAACCCCATTTAAGGTGCCATTGCTATAGAAACGATTCAGGTGACAGTTCTGTAGGTTCAAGAGAAACTGGGCACATTCTTGGAAGCCCTGGGTATGTGCAAGGTCTGCTGCTGTCAGGCCACTGGCATTTCTCAAGCTGTACAATACAAAGGAACTGAATTACACTCATTCATCAAGCCAGCATGCTGCTGCTGCTGCCCTTACTGACTATCTATCTGTTGGTGAGAGAAAACATACACTTAGCAAATTTCCATTAAGAAATTAGTTAACAATCTTAGTTTTATAACTAACTTAACTTTTCCCACATATATCTGGCTTCTAAACAAATTTGGGAGACAATGCACTTTTAAATAAAATCAATATACTATGTGACTTAAAAAAAAACATCTTCCTATTTAAAGTTCTCAAAATGCTTTACTCTAAAATAGTCTGAAGTATGTGGTCTTTACGTAAACTTCAGACTACTTTAAGCCTTGAATTTTATTATCTTCTGCAATCTATTGCTTTAACGTGAGCAAAAGATCAAAAACTCAAAACAAACTTAACATGACTTGGCAATTGTCCATGGCATTCTGGTTTCTAAGGTAACAACATCATCACTATTCTTCCTAACAACAAAATATATACATATATAGGAAAAGATAGAGAGATAAAGATGCTATATTTAGTTATGCTTTGCTTATTTTATTTTTTTTCTGATTTGTTTCTCATTTCAAAGTGTGTGACATCATAAGTGCTGGGACTTGCTTTGTTATTGGAACAGGAATATCCTAATGCATCAAGGAGATTATAAATGAAACCAGGTAGGACAGATAGGGACGTAGAGGTTTAATCTGAGAAAGTGCTGTATCATATGCATTTACACAAACATACAGTATGTCTGTGCTTAGAAAATACAGGCTTAGAAATACAGGCTAACTTCATAAGGATGTGCATGAAAGTGGAGACAAAAGAGGGCCAGAAGTGACAAAATTAGACTGTTAAGTGAAAGATTCCAATGAACATTTCTGAAGGTTTTTTCCACCTTTCCGGACAGATCTAACTAGTCAGAAAATTGAATTTTTGTTTCTTGGCTTCAGCAGTTTACACAAGTCTATCAAGTCTATTACTTAAATATCCAGAAACAGATCAGCCAACAGTATAAGAATTCAGAAGATGAACAGACCTAATTTTGTTGAAGCTCGTATGAAGCAGAAAATTCACTCCAGCTCACAGAAAATAAAGAACCCCAGATTTGCTTCCTAGATCACTGCAACTTATTTGCTATAAAAATGAGACTAAAAAAATCTTTAGAAACTGTTACCGCAAGACCAATTCCATAAATGGATACTGCTAGATCACATAATATTTGGAAGATTAAGTCAAAAAACACTACAGAATCAGAAAAAACAGTAGGCTAGATCAGGGTTAATTTCATATTTTAAGTCGTCATTTACTTGGACCACTAGTGAAAATCCAGAGAACAGCAGCCAAGAGAGGTCTAGAAAGTAAGACATTGGAGGACCAAAAAAAAAAAAAAAGTTAGACATGAACTCTCAAGGTAGAGGTATTTGCTCTTCAGACCTAACAGATATGCGCAAAGAGAATAATTTGTTCTGTACATCTAGTGCAGGCACTACATGAATGGGATTAACATGAACAAAGGATATTTCAGTTCAGGCACTAGGAGAAAGCTTCAAAGTATAAAGTTTGCTGAATCTCCAGAAGGTTCTCTTCTCCTTCCTCATTTTAAGAACAGATTATCATTTCAGAAATCCTGCAAAACAGCTGATCCTTTCCCACACTTCTACTATATGGCCTGCTAAAGTCCCTGCTAACAACATTTAATGCTTTTTCAGTAGTTCCAATTTATTTGTGTAACAGATGGACTCAACACAATGCAACTACAATTTAAGAAACAGAAATGTCAATACAGCTGTTTTGGTCAAATAGAATAGCTCAGTTCTTGGAAATTTAAGTTCAGAGCCTCAAGAGGACAGTAAAGGAAATATAAACAGGAGCAAATTAAAGTTACACAAAGATAAAAATGGCCAGAACAAGATGGTGTTGACCAGCCACCTAATTTAATTAAACTTCAAGGAGTAAGTAATTCTATTACTTAGCAAGTGTTACTGGACAATAACTCTGCTTTGAAAAATGGATTGCAAGACAGACAACAATCAGGTCACCATTTCCCAAAGGAATGTCAATGTAAGTTGCCAGAGGCACCTGGAGATGTACAAACTAAGATGCAAGTGTGTAAGACTACATGTCCAAACTCCAGGAAAGAAAGGTTTCCCAGAAACAAAATAAGTGAACTTGAAGTTAATGTTTGCCAGATTTTAAAATGTAATGACCCTTCATATTTTTAGACACTTGATATTTTTAGATCTGTCCCCACTTCTTCCTGAACAGCTTACTCTTAATGGGTAGACAAAGACATACTTGTTCTACAGGATTATTTTGGAAGCACCACATAGGTTTTCAAGGGACTTAAACACGCTGGATATAACATTCTTGCTTCTGAGTTTAGAAATGGCTCTCTTAAAAATCTGAGTCTGAATTTAACCTGTCAATATCAAGAGAATTTCCTGTGTTCAAAAGTTAGCAATGAAAACAAAAGAGAAGAAAAAAAGAAGTCCAATCAAACGTAAGGAGATTACAGGACCTAGATAACTAGGAACTGGTTGGCAGACTGCTGTGAAAGAGAACATGACTATGTTAAACTGGCTTGCATTCCAATATTAAAGAAAAGGAGAAGCTGGCAAAATGGTAGAACCTCTCTGAGTTCTGACTTTCTCAAAAACAGGCTAGAAAGATCTACTCCTTTAGCTGGTTTGTCTAGCTTTCTCTAGGAGGAAAAATCTGTCAGTGGGAACACAAAAGGCAACAAGAGCTAACCATGCTATACTAGCTCATCATAATGAAATGAATGTAATCCAAGAAAAAAAGGCTAAATGAAATAAATGCTTTTAAAGGATATCACAGAGTTTTACCAGACTGGAATAATTTTATGCATTTCCAAAATATGTAGAAATACTGCCACCACTGTGAGGATCCTGAGTGCATAACAGAAAAATACAGTCCTTCTAGTAAACCCTGGCGTACTTGAATGAACATAAGACACCTACTAGACAATTCTTTAAAAGTGTTACTCTGGACTTGAGGAGAACTATCCTGTTATAGATAAGCAGTAGTTACAAAGAGCTGGGAACATCTATTACTAGATCTGCAGGTCTACCTCAAATGCTGTCAATGCCTGAAAATGAAGCAGTTACCTCAGCTTACTCTATGCATTAAGAATATAAAAGCCGTTACTGTAAACACACTCCATTATAAGAACAAAACCAGAAATGGTTCACTGCCCCAGATACACATAGAACTAAAAGGAGTTCACTCTCTTATGTGCAATTCCTGTGCCAGCCCTTGGTTATGAACTGCACTTAAATGTAAACTCTTGAGTGAAAAGGAGGAAAGAGTAACTGAAGATTCATTTGGCTATTAATTAGACTATACCTGACATGGACTGCATGATTATAAATAAATAAATAAATCAACAACCAGGAAACTCAAAGAGTAATCACTGTATTTAAGTAAATTTTCAACTACTTCAATTATCAGAACTATTCCTTGAAAGATACTTCACTTCTCAGAGCTGCCTACATAAATAAAAAGTATTTGACTAGGTAAAGGATGTTATAACTGAATGTAACTTCAAGACCTGGACTGTGAAAGGCAACCAGAGGAAAAAAAGAAAATCACTGGACAACAAGGACAAAAATATCTCAAAACTTAATGTCTCTTGGAAAAGAAGAATTAAAACTTTCTTTTCTACCCATCCTTTGTTTTTTTAATAAGTTAAAAATCCCTCCGGTACTAGCTTTGATTGATCTTTTATCCTAAACACCCTGAAGTAGTGGAAGCTCCAAAGCAGCTCAGAACACATTGATTTAAATCTTCAGGCAACCTATCCTTTTGTTACTGCTAATCATACTGCAAATATGACAGTTCTATTTCTGTAACTGCATTACTCAGAATTTTAGAATAAGTAAGGCAATTTCCTTCTCTTTTGGGGTTGTTTTTTTTCGGGGGGAGGGGGGGGTGTTCCCCCAACAAAGATGCCAAACTTGAAGACAAGCTCGTTTCTTTTCAGGGTTTTTCTCTAAGTGAGGCTACCTAACTGACTCAAGACTACATACAGACTGTATTTTCCAAAGATGATCTTATGAAGGAAGCAGCTACCAGTAAGAAAGGTGTGGAAGGATTCAAGAAAGTCTTATTACAGAAATAAGACTAAGCCTTGAAAAGTTCCATGAATTTTGTGATTAGTCAGTCTTTTATTGAATAGCATTCATCAACTTGGTGCAGTATTTTCTAAAGGCTGTCCTAGTTACTGTGAAAATAGCTGTGCTCCAAAACCTTAATTCCCTCTCTCCAGTGAAAAAAAAAAAAAAAATTCAAAACCTGAAGACATCTCTGAAAGTCAGTCCAGTTACATGAACAGGTGTAAAAACTGAAGGAAGGACAGTGAAAACTTAAGCTCTGAAAATGCCATTCCCTTTTTAGCACCTACTCTGGACAGGAACATACATGAAAGCTTGAACTGACAAACAGGAGTAAAATTCCTTACTTAACCTTGCCCAGGACTAAAATGCAGGTTTGGTAAGAGGTCAGAAAGTCAATTCACTCTATGCTTAGAAAACACGTACCTTGCATCATTTCCAAAGGACTTAAAGAATTTGAAAAATGAAGGAGTCCTGCTAAGATTCTTTTACTTGGCAGTATTTTCTTATTCTGTAGTTTATTCACCATTTCCATGTAAAACAATGTAGAATGATGAAGCATGGTATCATTTACCCTCAGCCTTGGTGTAGGCTGAAATCCAGGAGCTAAGAATCATAGACATACTGTTTTCTTCAAAGTACAGAAGATGCTAACTCCGAAGCAAAAGACAGACAAATGTAATCAGAAAGATACATTTCCTTACTATAAAGTTATGCTAAATAGAAAAAAATCCACGAGGAAAGTTGAAGAAAGTCTGACTATGGATGAGTATAAGTAGGTGATCTTGAAGTTCCTTGACAGATGACATTTAACACTTGCATTGTTCTGTACTGACAGGTGTTTTATAAATAAACTCAAAACATGCACTGTTATATTACGGTTTAAAGCTTTGACTTTTTCATATACATTTATTCACACACCTACAGTGCTTAAAACAACACTCTTAAAACACATTTTCATTCTTCCATCAAGTGATGTCCACAAGCAGTCTTCAAAACTGACTAATCTTGGCACGAAGATGACTTTTTTTCTGAAATCTGTTTTTCTCCCTCTGGTTGACATCATCGAACTCCCATTGTGTAGCCCCAGTTCATCTAAGAGTCTTGGTATCAAAGCAGCTATAAAGAAGACACTGATGAAGCATATGTTTATATAATTTCTTCTTCTGAAATGTTCATTAAGATGCTGGCTGTCACTGTAATTAAAGTGTTTTTCAGAACCAAAAGAGGTATGTTATCTGAGCAAATAGGACTGCTGTACAGAAACTTGTTAACTTTCAGTTTAGGAGGATGTTTTTGTTGTTTCTACCTAACCACAATTTGTTGTTTTGGGAAGTTTACTAAAGGAAGGAAAAAATATCTGAAGCAAGCTCTCAAAAAATATGCAACACACTTCCACTATGATTAAGTTACAGAAAGCAAAAAAAGACCCCAACCCAAATAAATACAAAACTTAGAATTGTTTAAATATAACTACCTTTGTGTAAGAAAGACTTACTTCAAGATAACTTAAAAAATTTACTCTCAGAAAGATATGTAGAAAGGAAAAAGACTTGTGCTTCTTGCATTGAATTATAAATTATATTGAATTTACTTAGAAAAAACTTGATTCTAAGTTGTTTCAATTATTGATATTTTTCATACTTATTGGAGGAAAAAATCGTGTCTAACATCAAAATATATTTGCAATACACTATCTTCCACTTATAATGTCACATACCTTGAAAAACAAAACAAATGTCTGCTGTAAAAAGTCAACAGTAAATGTTTTTGGAAAAAAAAAATCAAAACCAAAACCCCAAAACATTCATATATGTAAAAAAAAAAATCCTCTAAATGTTTAATTTTAAATAGTGATTACATCGCCTACAGCTTACTGTGTTTTTGTTAATGCCATGCGACAATCTAAGAAAATAAACCACAGTTTTCGTATATCAATGTCATATCTGTTAAAAAATACTGATCTCAACTTATCTATTGTTAGTTTACAAATAAAAATGTAGATAATTGTAAATTAGGGTAAGCAAAGCATGCAAATCTATAGATTCTATATCTGAATTCCTAGATTAGCATTAAAACCAATCACCGCAACAAATACCTCAACAGTATGCCTTGTGTGCAGAAAGGAAGCGATACTGAACATTCAATGCCACAACTGTAAGGTTTTCGGAGAAGCACCTGTGGCAGTTTCAGCAGTTTCTATATGGAATGCTCCCCCTTTCTAGGATTACTTGAAAAAATCAAGTCAATTCGAATTACGTAGCTGTAAAACATTGACATGTGTAGTTTTTACAGTTTCAGAATCTTCTGTTTGATTTAAACGGGCAATGGTGCATAAACAGGAAACTTATATCATAAGGGATCACATATTTG